GCGAATCCGTTCGTTCGATTTTATACGAAGGAATTAAAAGACCCCAATTACAGCAGCCGTTATGACCCGAGCTTTAAGGTACCGCGTGTAATCGCGATATATATTTTCGTTAACCGCGCTGAATTTATATACAGCTATTTGTAGTATTCTGTTGGACAGTGACTGTCAGTCACTGTCGTAATTACCATTTTACCATTTAACAAAATAAATTATATAGTTTTCGTTTATCATTGACGTTATTTCACAGATTAAACGAATCAGAATTTCGTTTCTGGCGCGAACCTTCTATAGAAATTCTTTTTCGGTTATTATCAATATTATTTTTCATATGACAATGTAGGCTCGTTTTATGGACACGCAGCGAGTAGGGATCCGTCGATGATGCAGCGTCCTGTTTTACCGGCCGGCGGGCGGGATTGTCAAAAGTCAACATAGCGCCGTTGGGACCAACGATAAAACGTGTCGATTAGTCTAGTCCGACGACTCTCCTCGTCGAGTGTTTACCTTGACTCCTGTCCGTAATTACGTCTTGTTCGCCTGTTTGTCTTTCTGTCTCTTCGCACGACAAATACGTCCTCCGTCCCTCAGCCCTCGGCATTACTAGTCGACTCACGGATTTTTGAGCTTTCATCTTTTTCAATCACCGGGGCCGATCTTTCTTACGATGCTGGAGCCTCATCTGATCTTGCTTCTTCAGACGTTTATTCGCGTGATTCAATATTCGTATATTCACATCCGATCGAGCCACTGCGTTTCACCGATGCGATTCGGATTCATTAGCATTTATTGAATTTTCATACTGAGAATTCTTGCGGATCGTAAAGGAGATTTATAGAAGAATTTTGAGAGACGATGTGGTTTGCAAAATTTTTTCGAATTTCACGACTTCATACAAAAATGCAATTTTCGAGCAAATTTATTTTATTTATTGGATATTAGAAATCCTTAGATCTTATTCGATACGTATTAAGGCTTTTCCATTATCAGTAATGGATTCTTGCTCCAAGTTTCGCATCGATCCGAATTGTTAGGTTACGTGGATTAATTCCGCTTTATGGTCCCTGGTCCTGGAATCGAAAGCACCATCAAGCACAAAATGACTATGCTTTCTTTTTATGCACTCTTTAAAGTTTTACGATTTGTCATTTATCCCAGCCTATTTGATTTTGCTTCTACCATTTCTGCAGGATATGCACAACATTTTTCACTTCTAGCACGATAATGCACAAAACTAGCAGAAAATGGTACATTAAGTTTTATGCTGCTTCGGGCTTTAAGGGGTTCCAACTTAATAGAAGTACATACAGGTATATTACAGTTAAATACTGGTTGCGATTATCCTTTGATATATTGTATAACAACGTCCGCTAGAGTCAATTTTTATGTTATATTTTTATCTTACAGTTCCGTGTAAGACGATTTGAAAAAAATGAAAATTGCTTCAACTTGTATGCGTGTAGAATTTTAAATATTAACATTGTAAATGAAATTGGGAGAATTGAAAAAGAAAATAAGTAGAGAAAATAAAAAAATTTTCTTAGGTTTCCCGAATTCGTGCTTTGTAAAAATGTATCTCTGCAGATTAAATTTCTATTTTTTCTTATTTTTCATCTACCTACACTGTAGATAAATTTTGGCTAAGTAGAATTTATTGAAGCATGTTCAAACGCAAATTTACTTTTGATAATTGTTCTGCTTGTTCGTCGAATCTACGTGGTGATTAGACCACGCTCACCGGGAGCTTAAATTCTTTACCCTTGTATGATTAAAAATGCTGAGCCAGTCAGGCTTAAATTTCATACAGGCTTTTCGCACGTGTTGCGAAACTGAAAATAAAAGTCCAACGACGATATACATCGCTTGATTAAAACAGCCCACAAGGATTTCAAATTTCGTGTCTATGAAATTTTATTGTGCAAATTGATACACTGAAAGAAGTAAATTTAGCTCCTAAAATTGGCCAATGCATTCCCCGTGAAACCTCATCGCCCAATGAAACAGCCTCGTTACGAAATTCCACAAACGCGTAACAGTACCTTCTGTAATTTTTCAAAATCAACAATAGCAATTAACAATAATAAAATTCGATCAAAATTTTTCAAAATATTCGAATTCCCCAAATCGTTTATCGACTCTAAAAAACGCTCTTCGTCACAGTCGTCCCACGTGGTGTCCCTCCCTACCTTCTCTTATCGCGTTTTAATCACTCCATACTTTCCGCCGTGCAACAACTTTTTTCTATCATTTCGCATCAGGGCGTCGGGTGCATCGTTGTTTTATAAAGCGATCCTATCGAGTTAATTGGTCGCTCGGGTTAAACTGCTGCACGCGCGTATCCCTGAGAATCTACTAGCGTGTGCAAGGACATGGGTGTAACGTACGCGAATACGTATACCGGGTGTCGGACGAGTCAGCAGCAGTTCCGAATGCGTCGACTTGCCCCATACATTAATTTGCGGAACTGATCTCCTCGTAAATGAAAAAATCCCCAAAAAATTAAAAAAAAAATAAAATATGACATGCGCCCAAAAATAAGTGCGTCACGCACGTACGAACTATAGAGATAGAAAAATCTACAAGTCGACGATATAATTACCATGAGAAAATCATCACCGTTCCCGTATGCCCTCGCAGCCTAAAGGCAGCTTTCGCATCGAGCGATACGGCTGCTTCGCTCTTAGCCCCGCGCGCTATACTCCATTATGCTATGCATTATTTATGTCCGTTACCCTGTCCCGTACAATGTAGGCTACGAATCAAAATGCATTGCTTATGCAAATGATGCTCGTGTCCCGGAGCTCGACATGGAGTCACACAGTATGCCATGGGTCTGATAATAATGATCAATAAGACTAGAGGAGCGTCCCCTGCATGTATTTACGATTAGAACCAGCGAAACTTACTGTACTCAATTTCGGTCTCCTACCGCACATCTCGCAGGCTCTTCAAATAGTACAAGAATTTACTATAGTCTATTCAACGTTTCGCGTTGTCCGATAGTCTCGGATATTCATAAATAAATACACTGCCGAGATGCAATCCTATTGTTACCGTACCCAAGTGCACAATCGAGAGATACTAACCTATATCCAATATGGCAATGGAGGATCTTTCGCCGATCTCATCGGATTTCGCGTCGGCTATACATTTATGTTAGGTAATTCTTGTTGGGTGGATATTTATTGACTGGAGGATGTCCGGAGTTAACGATTGTTGGAGGAGGGGGGATGCGGTCACGAGGGTTACGTCATAGGTGAGGGTGGACGAAGGGTTAGTCGCTTAGGGGGCTGCGGTCGGTGTTGGCCATCTGGTGGTCGGAACCCGAACCGCCGCTTTGCGGTTTTGCGGCTCCACCAAACCGCCGAACCTCTTCTTGATAGCTGCCTCTATTTGTACGGTCTATTCGACGGACTCCTCTTGGCTCTCGGTATTCTCACTCTGTGCTGCCATTCCGAGTCCTGTTCAAACACCATTCACGGCTAAAGAGGATGTGTATTTCAGGCTGCGATTCATTCGATCCTTGATTACCGGTTGCCCTCTTGACCTTTGTAATCCTATTTCTTCTTTTTTTTATCAGTCCCTCGTGAGGCTGGCGAATGCATATGCTGTTACAACGATACATCTCTTGCCTCTCTCTCGCACCCACGTGCGCAGGTACTGTTTAATTAAACCTCATTGGATTATTAAATAGCGCGTGATTGACATCAAGTTAATTATCATATGCAGAACGCATGATTCTCTCGTAACGTATTATTGGAAAATAATTAAAATGCATATATATATGTGGAAATGATCTGAAGAGCGTGCATGGAACATCGATAACGATTAAAATAAAAGTAAAATTTTCGACCGCGAGTGAAAATAGTCATTTCACTCGATTTTTAGGATGAACGATTTCGAGATAGTCACGTGAGGGAATTAAAGGGGGAAAAAATAAAAAAAAAATAAAGCAACTATTGCAATATAACCGCGCCCCCGGCTGGTCGTTCCGTGGAGCGCAAAGTGCACGTTACACCCCGGTTGAAAGCCAATAAATAAATTGGATTGCAGAACGGCTTTACCGAGACAAATGGGATCAGCGATTCTGCCGATCAGCAGGGTTGCCAATTTACCACCTCCCTTCCCCGCCCGCTCGTTCGTCATCCACCCTGCCCTTCGTAGTGCTGCTCTATTATCCATCCGCTCTAAGTGGGTGTCGCTGCGCGCCCTTCGCTTCTTCGCGAGGCCCAGCGGGGATTTCCATGGCACCCGCCTCACCGGAAGTCAAGAGCAACTCGCACGTTTACACGTGTTCGATTTCGTTATAAGCGCTGCGGGAATGCCGGGGACCCCACGTAAGTCAGTAAGTAAATAAGTGGGCTTCCATTGGCTTCCGTCGGTGCCACTCTGGCGTTGCGTCCCTGAACGCGAATGGCCTATGGCTAATGGCTTGTGGCGCCGTCTTTTAAATTGCCAACGGAAACATAACCTGTAGCGCGATTGTCTTGGTTTCAAATATTGCAGAAGGTGGTCTGTATCGAGGTATCCGATCTCGGACTATTTTCAGTCACGCGTATTGGAAGACGTTGGGGAGACGAAGTTTACTGGGGCGCATGCGCGCCATGGCTTAGATGGCGCCACATGAGTCTGAGGTTAGGTAGCTGGAGAAACATCTTAAATCACTCGCGGCTAACGGATCCGCGGCTAATACCCGCAGTATGCGTAATTATTTATCCTAAACGCACGTATAGAGCGTTTATGTTAGCTTTTCGAAAATAGAGTCTCGTGTCGGATTAAACGGAGACGAATAAAACTTCCGGTGGCGCTGCGATCGATACCAACTACATTGACAAATAATTACTCCTGCGCCGTAGCACGTTTTTGGATTTTTTTTTTCGATATTAAAAATTGTTTTTCTTTTTCCCTGTTAAATTGTTTTACTTAGTTTTTTTTTTGTTTTTCCTTGTTCCTATTTGTATTAGACTTTCTCCTCCAACTTGAAACTTTTTTAATGTTTTCAGGGACCGCCTCAACCTGGACAACCCTTTAAGTTTACGGTTGGCGAATCCTGCGATCGCATCAAGGAAGAGTTCAACTTCCTGCAGGCGCAATATCACAAGTAAGTTTTCATAATGGCGGATCCTCTTCGCCATGGGATACAATATCGGCAGGTATCGCAGACTTTCCAGACACGACAGGATGACAGCCGAATAACGAGACTTCCGGTACTTCCTTAAACTCCCCCCCCCCCCCC